GGGGGCATCCTCCGCGGCAAACATCATGGTGAAAGCCAAATCCGTACACAATCTAATTAGCACAGGCCTCATTCCCCCATACAATATGGCCACCTATCACGCACGCACAGGCAATGAGGTCCCAATTGTGAGATTCGATAGATCGAGAGGGGCAGTTCCTATAGTACTTTTCTTGTTCAGATCCAAGATTCAAGGTGGGCAATACAATAGAGTTCATATCCGCAATGCCGAACGCAACTCCGGGGTACTTGGCAAAGCGATCAGAAAAAAACACTTCAAGCGCCGACAATAACCTTTTTGTTATTCAAGCACCGCATCGAGCCTCTATAACTTGACAAGATTCATAAGGCAAGAGGTTCAGATATTGTTATCATGTTCATTGGATATAGTTCCACCCGGTGGCCGGGCTCATGCAGGAACAATCGAGAAGAGAAAAGTTCTCGAAACTCATTCACCTGCATACATACAAGTAGTATGCAAGTCATCTTCAGTTCATTTAAACCACCTGGCACCTTCCTCAACCTTCCATCTCCTGCATAGAAATATCTGAAACGGAAATTGCAAAGGGGTTCGTCATCTCATCTCTCGTTGTGTTTGATTATTCCGACCACCTGCATACCACTGTTCCATCAAATCAAATGCGAATTTCTTCTTACAATAACTTTTTTGAGTGCAACTACTTTTGCTCAGCGTCACATGCATATTAAAGTCGCGGCGCCTAAGTACCGACTTTTCTAGAAGGATTCGAGAATTTCCGAAAGAATATTTTGAATGCAGAAGATATGCACGGTAAATGAGGGCATGAACTGGGATGATTTCCTTCTTTGGAATACAAACACCAACACCTCATTTACGATGAGATTATATTTGAGACTCATGCATGAACAAATTTGCAACACGAGGTTTGATGTCGTTTTTGGGGCGGTGGTGACATTTGGAATTCCAAATCGTAGCACAAGCAGGGTTTCCCAATAGTTCGGATTGCAGTCCGGCAATGAAAAGCTTTAGGATTCGGCATCCAATCGGAACATTCGAATGTCTTGATGTGTTGATTCCATTTCGAATGTTGAATTGCGTTTTGCGTTTAAATACTGAAAGCTTCCATCTAGTCTGCCAACCCGGACTAACGGATACCTTGACCACAAGTAGTGTGAATGTTGACTAGACCCCCGAGTCTCATAGGGTATCATTGGCATCTTTTGATTTTTAATTGCTTCCACATTTGTCCTTGCATGAAGATAGGGGAAGAATCGTCGATTGAAATTCTTTCGCGAGCTATTTCTTTAATAGCATAGATTGAAAACGACATAGGCACTCTGCGGATGAAGAATCCGGACCTCAGTATCATTGTGCTTGACTTCAGAGAACAAGTTTGTTCGCTGTAACGTCAAAGAGTTGCCTAATCAAATATGTTGCTATTCCGTCCCTTCCGTCTCATTCTAAACCTTGAGGTAAAGCCCTCTCTCCCAGCTACTTCGGTATAACCATCCCATCAATACACACATGTAGTCTCCTCGCCATGATTTTCCCCAATTCTTTAAAACTATGGTATATCTATCTTGTGTATCCCACAAACACAAATAGCCATTCTCCTCAACCTCATCCTCCCCCAATACCACGGCCCCGTATTCCCCAGCAGATACATATTATACGTGTATCCCATATTCGAATACAATGGATAAGAATACGCACTTGCAAATCCATACCCATCATATGATTACCAATATGGAGAATGAGTATTCCCATCCGGACATGAAGCTCCTGATGAAAAAATAATGAGAGGGGTAATATCTTGCTTGGGGCTGAAATTGGCATTGAGTTTGAGCCTGAGCGTGAACTTCCGATCGTGTACAATATCTTAAATCACATCTCTGCGGATCCATTATGTGAGCCCGTGAAATCTGAGCAACTTGTGCTACCTGCCTGGTCCACAGGGTATCCAATATTCCGACTTGCCGTCCAACAACATAAGGGTTTGAATGTCTGAAAGCCATTACAAGTTTGAAAATAGTTCAATAATTCAACATCTCAGATGATTTGAATGTTCTAATTGGTTTGGGGAATTAATAACTTTTTGTTGGACTGCAGTCCGGGCTGTTGGACACCCTGCTTGTGCCCTGCGCAGTATGTACCGGTAGATATACAATAAGAGCCCAGATATCCATATTCATATACACTAGTGTTGGAAGTAAATCTACCTGTACTAATAAAATGCATACGGATATACTAAATCCAGATTTGAGATACCGATTCGATTGCGGTTATCTCGGAGGGTAGGATTTGGAGGATATAGAATTTGTTTGGACGCATGGGCTATGCGTTGGTAGGGAGGAAGGGGTAAGGATGGCGAGGGAGGAGGGTAAAGAGATGAGTAAGAGGATGGGAGGAAATTTTTGCTGAGAGGTGCGTGTAAGAGGTGCGTGTGTATGGAGGAGGTATTTGCTTAGATTTGATGTGATATGTATGATGTGATCTGGTTGCTTGAGAAGCCCTGTGTATATCTTTTTGAATCTGGGGTTTAAAAAAAGTAGATACCTAAGTACTTCTGGATATTCTGTATCGTATTTTGTATGGTGAATATCATGAAACGACTCGAAGCCAGAAACTTGAAGGCATTTGATTTCAGTGTGACTGACGTTGAACTACGAATGTGAGGCTAAATTAACTTCCATACCGGCTATCCCTCCCCCCTCTCTTGATGTTGATTCAGTGTCGGCTATAGATCGTCTCTGAATGTACCAGTTTGACTGGTGTATTGTAAAACCATACCTAGGTATGATATAGAAGGCGTTAAATAGTGAAAACAAATATTCACTTTTAATTTTCGACCATTATTCATAGATCATGCTCAAAGTTGACATATTCACCAACAGATGATATGACCTTCAATAGAACGAAAAAATTAGGACGTCGAAAATATGCACTCTTTCCAATATGCGAAATCAAATAAGACAATTAATATCGCGAATTCAAAATTTAATGAGTATTCATTTTTGGCAAAAATCAAGTCAATGTAGGTAGGTATCATAACATAATATCCTCAAAGTATTATTCTAATTAATAAGTGTAGGTATTGGATTTTCCGTACTCATAGAGATAACCGGATCAGCCTCGAATACAATTTAACCGATGTACAGAGCTGTATCTCCACGACATCAATTCTGTCATTCAAACTAATTTTGCACATTCACTGACTACTTACATACTGCTCTAAAATAAACTACGACTTTAGAGAGAATCTAATAAGTGAGAGTCTAAAGGTCTCCTTGATCCTGTCAATAGACACGTCAAAAAGCTTCCATACTTTTCTTACCTACAAGACCGGGTGTTGAACTTCTAAAACCTTTTCCATTGAATAGACTCACAATATCTATTCACCAAATCCTTCCGATGATTCCATCCAAAAAGTCTGCAGCTAGAACAATACCGCTATCTCATTCCCTTCTGCTGAAACGAGATACCCAAAAGACAGCTAATCGGTAACATACTTCCTTTCTCCCCACACGGTAAATACCACCACTATGTCTAACTAATTCCATCAATTCATTTTCGAATCTTCATTGAGTCCTTAGAATCTCCAGGCTTGAAATATTCGACTCCCAGGATATATGAATATGAATAGCATACTCCCTCTCAACCTCCCTTCGCTAGAAAGGCAGAAGTGCAAACGATGATTTCCTTTCATTTTCCTCTCCAATCATTACTATTCCATATCAAAAGCATTCCATTCACAAGTCTAATCCATTCCACAACTCCACTTTAAACCCGCGATCCCGTTCCACCCACCCCCATCCTTCTCATCACCAAAAACTTCAAACTCCCACAACTTCCTCAAATCTCAACTAATTTACACATTTTCAACTGCAAAACGTTCCTCCTAGACCTCCAGACTTGCAAAAGCAGAATGAGCTTCGCAGGGATCGAACCTGCAATCTTTTGATGGAGAAGACTGTTATTTCTAACAGAAGTCGAAGTCAAACGCGTTGCCATTGCGCCAGAAGCCCGAGCCGATTTGATTGGTAGAGGCGCTTCTTTTCTGTATATATCGTGTTTGACGGGGAAAAACGGAAAGACGAAGATCAAACAGGTATAGTGGCATTTAGTGTAAGTGGAGATGCGAGGTTGAGGTGTCGGAGTGGGAGAGGACAATACTGTTTTAGCACCGGCAAGAAAATTAGCGTGCCAAAGTTTTTTGTATGTGAGGCACTTTCATGCAGTAAGAGTTTGTAACAGATTAGATTGTATAGTTGTATCCTAATGAATGGTGTTATATGTTAAATTCGGGTTGTAAAAAGATTTTGAAGTTCTTTAACATTGTGGAAGGGGATTTGGAGAGAGGGGGTTAGCAGCTCACCCCCTTCCCTTAGCGATGTAAAGAAAATAGTGAGAGAAGGTGAGAGAAGGTGAAAAGATGATTAAAATTCTGGGGTAGATTTTCAAAACTATGTATGCCAATACATACAAGAAGTTTGGAAATCGAAAAGAGAGATTTTGATATCGATGTAATGGGGATGTGTTTGGGTTGACCCTTTGAATTCACGGGATGAACGAGCTGCACACCAAACAAAGCTTATGGACAATGGATGTTCTAAATGCCTTCAATGGTCCAATTCGAACATAACAATCAAATACTTATTGTTTACATTCGGGTTAGATAGTCAAATGCATTCAATGTTTCATGTCAGTTCAATTATTCAAATATACATTCGGAAATTATTTTGACGTGATTTATTTCATTCATGGATCTCCCAGATGAATGTGTTTGTGAGAGCTCAAGTATTGTAACCAGCAGACAGAACTCGAGTAGAAATAATAGTATACAGAATAGGTGATTGAACGGAACACAATTATACGGCTTTCAATAGCAAAGAATCAAATGCTCCTGTATTTTCATATCTCATGCAAACATAACACATATCCCACTCCATTCATCTAAGCTTGCCCCATTCCAAAACGCTCTATATACCACTTATCTACCTATCTACCCCTTGTCTACCTATCTACCTCTTCATAGCATCCAACATTTCACCCCTAACCTTTCTTTCTTTAGCCCCCTCACTCAAGCTTCCCAAACTTCTCAAATCCCCAACTACATCCTTTGCCTTTCCAAAATAAACCTCTTGTAACAGATTTCTCATCTTTAACTCCATATCCTCGACAAGTCTTCCAATATTAGCTATATGTTCCGCATCATCTTGAATTGGTAAATCTGCTTCAATTTGCCGTGTCATGTTTCCGCTAAGATCCATTTCGCCGAGCTCATTGCCATTGGTAGAGAGGGAAAGAATTACGGTAGATGTGAGCTTGTAATGGGCGGTACGAGCACGGTCAACAGCTTCGAAGACGTGAATGCTGTCCCAAGAACCGGCGGAGTTGGACGATGAAGGTGCAACTATGTATATCGAATTAGCTTCCATAATAAATGACCACCTCTCAATATACCAGATATGACGACTCAAAAAGTATCAAAAGAAATTATTCTCACCTTTCTTCAATAAAACCACACCCGCAAATCCATCATCCAAGTTCCAGAAATAAACACTACTAACACCACCCTCATAATATAACTCCCTGTAAACATCAAAAGCCTCATTTGCTCTAATCTCCATTTTTCTGACCCGTTCACTAGGAACAGCACCTTCTCCAGCTCCATCATTGTTTCCCTGATCATCAATACCACCAGGTGTTGTACCACCTACAGGTGTCTCGAATTCACCACTCCATGGGGAACGATAGCTATCGCCATCACGGTTATAATCGCAGAGAAGGTAATCGCGACCAGTTTTGCGACAGCGAGAAATAGTAAGAGGTTGATCGACAGAGCTTAGGAGATCTTCTGTCAAGGAGGGAACGAGGTCAATAAGAGAGTTTAAATGGGTGGTGGTATGTTTTGGGTTGAGACGGCGGAGGAGATCCCTGTAGAGGTTGATCAGTGGTACGTTTCGTAAATGAGTTTTCATTCGCAGATTTCGAATCTTGGGCTAAGAAAAAGGAAGCAACAACTTACAGCGCGCTATCAAATTGATCGACTTCTGCCATTTTGAAAGTGGTTGTATGAAGTATGGAGCTTGCGTTGTCAATGTTGAAGATGGAGGGGTTGACGTTAGAGGTACGTTTTAGCGAAAGCAAGGGTCTGATTAACGATAACGACTATTTGATGTTCGCAGATTCTGAGGAAACTTTAGGTATATTCATTAAAAAATGGTAAGTCGGGATATTTGCAAGCAACATTTTTTATTGCATTGAGAATTTATGTATATGCTATTTTAGGCGTACATACATACAACATTGAGTCAAAAAGACCCAAGCAAGAAAAATCAGCTATATGCAACCCATCCATTCACCGTCCTCCTGTTTGGACCGAGTTCCCTCCATCAGAGTTTCACCCATACGCCAGAGTTTAACCACCACCCCATTGAAAGTTTCCCGGACCAATGTAATAACTCCATTGTAATGAATCATGTCCCATACTTATCGTACAATGCGAATGCAATGCAAACCCAGGAATCCATTTTACAAATCCAGTTCCGATTCAGAATCTTCAGCATAACCACTCGTTCTCTTAGCTCTTCTATCGCGTCTCCAAGGACTACCAATATCTTCGTCTGGACCCGGCAAGCTTGGGTGATCCTTTTCGTATTGTACTCGAAAATCCCAAGCATCTTTATCCCATTTCGCCGACTTTACATTATATTCCGTAACAGCATCTTGATAAATTTGCTTTCGTTCGAGAGCCTTGTCAACATAAGGTTTCTTTACATCCTCTGGAGCTTCATTCCACATTTTCGTGATCATTTTCTTAACTTCGTTGGTGATCGGTTTACCTTTCCCTGGTCGTCGTCCTTCCTCGCATTTCCTTTTGGCTTCCTCCCACGTATCTTTACTATACATCTGATAGGAATTAGAGTGGTTCTTTGAAGGTTTCCAAGGTCGATCACCAAGCTTGGTATATATCGCATTCCATATTTCGATTTCATACGCTTCGAGACGAGCTTGCTTTGGATCCTTGGGCACTTCAATGGCCTCGGCCTTTCTCTTTGACGCTGACTCTTTGGGTGGAACAAGACGTTCTGGTATTTCTATTGGCCCAATGATAGACTCTAATACCTCAGAGGCTGCCCTGAGACCCGAAATGTAAGCTCCATGAACAGTGGCTGGATGTGTACCACAAGTATGCTCTCCACCAAAGAAGAGATTGCCAACAGGCTTTGCCATAACCCCATAATCATCACTTTGAAAATTTGGTCCCGTGTAAGAGTAACTGCCGCGAGAGAATTGGTCTTGACCCCAACGAGTAACAATTGACTCTACAGGCATAGGAATATGATCACCGAAAACTCCTCGTAGAACGGTTGTAGCCTCAGTTACCAATTCTTCGTTTGAGGTCTTCTCTGTGTAAAAATGCTGCCATCGCCAGCCATGAGAGCTAACAGAGTTGGCACGCCGGAAGTGTTGGTGCAATTGAACCACTGAAAAAATCTTCCTCTGTGTGTGAAGTATTCTCCTTGTTCCAAACTGGACTTGTTGGGTGGATTACGAAGGGTTCCAAAGATATCTCGGCTTTGATCCCAGAAAGGCTCTTTGAAGACCAATATGACTTTATTGAGGATTCCATATCCAATTCGCTGAATTGCTCCGGTTTTCCATGAAGGTAATTTGGGTTCGAATTCGATCTTATTCTGCTTCAAAACACCCAGTGGGATAGTGGACACGATATAATTCGCCTCGATTGATTCGCCATTTTCACAGTCAATCCTACTTGAGGAAATAGTACCATGAGGATTATAACAAATGCGTTTTACTGCACTCTTTTTCTTCACATCCAGTAACCGGGGAAAATTCAATAGGCCTCGGGGGACTTGTTGGTAGCCCCCTGTGACCATTGTATTGCTTGCCTTACCCATTCATTACCAGCATCTAGATCCCAGCCCCCCAGACTTAACTTATTGCAAGTAATCGCATTGCTATATTCAAGATTTGCAACATGCCAATTGATAAGTCTGAGATCGAGGGGTGTGAAATCAATCATTCTCATATATTGTCGAATCGCGTCATCGAATACCGACCCAAGTGTAGCATTCTCCTTACTCGTCGAGCGTTCAAGGTCGAGGTCAGATTCAATGCCGATGCCATCCCTAAGCCGCCATCCAATCTCGCGAGCTTTGTAAGCAGCAGTATGCACGGCTGGAATTCCTGGCTCCAAATGAGCTCTGCCAGTGAGCCTATCCGATGCCACAGGCACCATTTCTTCGGCAGCAGATGATTTTTCACTTGCAGCAGACTGCGGGGTAATACTAGCTCTGTTCTCAACCTCGCTGATGGTTCTCGACCCATCCCCATTACCATCGCGTCCTGCTTCTAAATGGTCTCTATCACCATCTATAAGAGGCGGTAGTGGGATCTTAAATTTATACTCGCCAACACGATCGAGAATGTAATTGAAAAGCTTCTCGGCTTGTTGATCGCGTTGGAGGTCAACTGGGTGGCCATCATCATATATCGTGGTATCCGGCTTCAACGGATGATAAGGTAGCGCCAGTTGTCCTCTTACGATGATATTCAAAGGATTGCCACGATCAAATCCAGTAATAATCATGCCACCCATTTCTGCGGTGTATCGACTACCAGGAAACAGAGTTGGATATTCTGGTCGTGATTCGAATTGACGGGAGTAAACTCTTCCACCAACTCGGTCTCTGCCTTCAACTATGACTACACGAGGTAATGCCTCACCCATTTCATGAAAACGATGTTCGAATTGGGCAAAGAGGCTTTCTAATTGCCTAGCGCAACCTAAGCCAGACATACCAGCTCCAATGACAGCGATGGTGCGCCTAGGTCCAGTTCCTTGCATCTCGCTTTTATCTATCTTGGACTCTGGATTCTCGAGACAACCGTAGTTGATGTAACCACGCCTAGATAACCATTCGTGACAAACCCGAGCAGTTTCAAACCAACGGGCGTCTCTTGCACACCCAATAGCTTCATCTCTCATTACATGTATCGAGGGATTACGTGTCCAGAGCCGGAGTATTCCATTTCTGATATTGAGATACGTCGTGACCTGTTGATGGCTTATATGCCCACGTAACATATGATACTCCTCTGGATGTAGAGTGTATGGACTGAGTCGTGACGATTCTGCTGCAGCGATACATTGTCTGGCATATTCTGCTGGATGAACATCCGTAGGTATCGATTCTTTCGGACGTACATTATATGTCGGTCTATTTCCACTCAAGGATGATGCCTTTGTAACCACCCCGGAATTTTTATCGACTGTTGGAGAATTAGGATGGCTTGACAATGAGGACAGTGAAGAGGAACCATCATCATGATCTGTAGTCATTGAAGAGGCTAAAGAGTCTTGAGCGCTTTCGGGCTGTAGGTGTATGTTGCCATCCGACGCGTGTTTTAATTGGCGCGCAGCTCTACTAATAAAAGCCAATTAACATTGACAGCTCAATTGAGAACTTCAAAAGACAAGAGGAGATGATTCATCAATACATACTTCTTATCGCCGTTAGTACTAGGTTTAGGATCTTTATTGACCCTTGCACGGGATTTGATATCAGATTGGAAATGATCAGTCGAGGTATCAACGATAATGGTATGCTCAAAGTTCTCAAAAGCAGGTTGCGTTTCAATGGTGTCGATTGTTGCATCGAAGCCAGGAGTAGATATAGTACCCGGTGTAGATGAATCTCTTCGGTTCTCCGTAGACTCAAATATAGCAAGATGGGAATCTAATTCTTGAAATCCCATCAATGTATCGTGACCTAAGTCATCTTGTTGACTTATCTGGGCATCCATCGTGGTTGCCATGCTGGGAGGTCTAAACCCGGTGACTTCTTCCTTGGAATGCTTTGATATAAAAGTGTGTTCGGAGGCTCAGAGTTGCGAGACGACGAATTGCCCATGAACAGCCTCAAGCCACGAGCTGAAATAACCCCTTATTATTGTCCAATTCGATATAATGTACTCTCAAATATCTGTTCTGGTGGTGTTAGAACCTTCATATAACTATATTAGAGAAATACGTCTTACACGTGGATTGGCCTCACCTCTATCATTCAAACATTATTGCGATGTATGTCGTACACCGCACCGAGTCTCATGTGTGTAATTCTCCCTATCTCATCAGGAGGTCGCAGGCGAAAGTTATGAAAGTTTTTTTAGGACTCGAGGAGATTTGTTGATCGTTGTGTCGTACGATATGAATATATCATGTCTTATGGGATCTCGGGCGGGCAAAAGATGCGGATAGCGATCACGTGTGGTGTTTATTTAGTTTAGAACGAAGTTGACAAGGAACCCTAAAATTGCAAGAACTCCGATCTTATTGTAGCATTGCATTCCAGACCCCTAGAAGAGGAAGGTCAAGAGGATATGTTGCACGTAGTTTCATTGTTGGCAAATATTTTGATTTAAGATTACTATTATTGAAGTAAGTTGGGACTTCTGCCCCTTTTTATCTTTTGTTCATGATATTTCTCATTGTTCATCATAATGTTACGTCGGACAAACTACTCCTGCCCAACGAGTCCTTCTCTATAGCTACATCCATCATCCGATTCCCATTTATGATCGATGTTGTGCATATAATGATTTGCTTCCGTGCTGTATGTCTCTTAGTAAATGATGTTGAAGTGTTTAGAGAATGATAACGGAATGCATACCTTCTTCTTGCTTCGCGATAAATCTCAAAGCTGCAATCTCTGTAAATGTTATTCCCCCTAGGAAAACAACAAAAACAGTCTTTTTCTCACCACTGCCAGTGAGAAGGGCTCTCGCTTTGACAGCTTTATCTTCCCCTTTTTGTACTTCGTCGAAGGTCTGGCCTCGCACATGCTTCAATGGTTCATCAAATCCTCGCCAGCCTTGAGAAGAGCCGCCAGTAGCCACACTCGCAGTATTGTTCGCATTTCCTCCTCTGGTCATCGAAGTGATATATTGTTTTTGTAATATGCATTGAACAAGGCGTATCGAAAGTGGCGCGTAACCACTGTAGACATAAGCGATGTCATTTGGATCGTGCTCGTTAACTTCATCAACAATTAGGCGAAGTTGTTTTCGCAGATAAGTATAATTGGTATTGGCACCAGCTTGAGCTCCAGCTCCGGTCAAAGGGATCATTGATGCCATTGGAGATGTCCTTGAGAGTAGTAATTGCAATTTCTCCAGAGCATCCAAGGTGAGCATGTGCTGGTACCCATACGCTTGTAGGATCATTTTCTTGAACGTATCCAATTCGCGAGGTTTGATACCGCCAGAGATGCATGATTCCAGGCACAAAAGTCTTAAGACTTCAGAGAGGGGGGCATCTCGAGCAATGAGCTCTTCGATGGCGTCGTGCTGCGACGAAGGATCGGCACCGGCGACCAGATTTTGTTGAACTTCTAGCAATTTGCTGAATTGTTCTGTACGAGTGTGTTTCATTATCTCTTCTGCTAAACCAGTATGTATTTTCAAGCTTTGCTGCTCGGCTTGATAACCTGGAAGCTTGTTCACAAAGTCCCTCAATTCTGCAGTACTTTTTGTTCCATGTCTACTTTCATAATCATCTTTCAGGCGTCGTGCGACCTTGTTAAGGAGCGGTCCAACAATAGCAAAATTGGTATCTCTCAGTTGAGAGTAAAGTTTATCGGACGAGTCCAGTATTATTTTCCGCTTTTTGGCTTGTACAGGTGCTGCTCCGACTGTTTTCGAGGACCCTTGAGGGGCTTGAGGAGCGGACCCCACAATAGATGAATCCACATCGGCTTGATTGTGTTGAATACCTACCGCTTCGTCAATCAACCCCTCGTATGTTAATTGCGTCAGTAAAGGGGTCGCGTAATCAATTTCGCGATCGATAATAATGAGGCTTTCGACCGTGTTACTTGGGGAGAGTCCAAGTTTATTGCTTTCATTGGAATCTTCGCCCGCGATCAATTCTTGTCGCATTCGTAAAAGGAGATCGGCAAGTCTTTTCGCATTATCACCCTGCCCAGTCATTCTAGGGAATAGGCCATGTTTTTGTTGTATGAGCATCAAAGCACGTGCGAGGAGAAATGTCGGCGTTGGGTCTTTTCGTAGATATAAATCTTCGAATGATTCGTCCAATTCCAAAGACAAGAGGTCCTTTTCCAGCGGAAGAAAATAGAGAGGAAATTCGGCAATACTGGTATCACCCAGTACGCCAGCTTCTTCAAGAATCTTTTCTGATACTAATGTTCTTCGTGGGACCCAAAATATGGAAAATTCATGTCCTGTCTGGCTCTCTCGCTGCATGCGCTTGATATGATCTGAGACTGTCAGCACGTTCTGATAGCATTAAACACAAATTGAAATCGGAGATATGCTTATGATCGTGTTGTTCAAATATATGAGAGTTATTCATATAGGGATCAAGACTGACCGAATAGAGTTGGAGAAATACAGCTATAAGGTCTACTTTTGAGATCCCATCAAAGGTACAAGAAAAGAAGAAGCATGAAGAGTGACAGGAAAGACCAAGTACTTACCAGCTATTGATTGAGCATGTTTCGCACTCTCTCCCCTAGCAATGAACACGACATTCTGCTGGCTAACATCTGCATTGCCATTCTCTAAGAAGAAGACCTTATCGACACCGTAATCTTGAAGAGTCGAGAACTTGACGATTACGCCAAGTGGACCAGCCAAACTCTGTTCAAGTACGAGATTCTTCTTTCCGCGAACCTGCGAGGGTTAATATGTCAGCTGCAACCTCGAGCAGCATGGGAGACGGTGAGGCCTTACTTACACCCTCTAATAAGTATAATAAATCCTTCCTCGCTTTATCTTTAATCTGATCTGTATCAAACCCAGCATGAGGAGCCATGATTAGCTCTACATGCGGGCTGAATGATCCCGTATTTGATGCAAATGACGAGGAAAGGAAAGTGCAGGATAAGCAAGCTGTAGCTGTATCGGTTTCCCAAGGTTCCCGTACGTACAGACCGTACTTGAAAGCTTCCAAGGTTCCATCATTTATTAGTTCCAAGCTTCATCGGAACTTTTTGCCAGATTTCACCGATCGAATGAGGCAACGCAACTCCCCGCACCAGCAAACTGCAAGCGAATTCTATGCCACTACAGTTACCGTACTCAGCCTCGCCATGGTGCATAAAACAAAAAATTCGAGGCACCCCAGATGACTCAGAATCAAAGAAATTGACCCTCTCAACCTTATCAAAACTCCATATAGATATGAGAAAGTGAATGAAGGTCTTTCAAACTCAATTACTTAGATCTGCGAGATCGTCACGACTTTCACGACTTCCACAACTTCCTCAACTTTTAAGAATCCCCAATTCGCGTTCGGCTTGGGCCCCAGCAACCCCCGCTCTCTCAAAAGCAGAAAGAAAACAATACTACGAAGAATTAAACATGGCGAAAGGACCAAAGTTTGAGTTAAAGACTCCCAAGGGGACGAAGGATTGTAGGTAACCCCATATATCTCTGTCACATTGCTATACACAATTGCGTCCCTATCTCTAATCATCACCGACATGTGACATGATACTTATTTCAATAGGGCAAGGGAAGGATATGGTCATTCGGGACAAGATCTTTTCGACCATCACAGAAGCCTTCAAGCGCCATGGAGCGGTCACCATCGATACCCCGGTTTTCGAGTTAAAGGATATTCTCGCAGGAAAATATGGCGAAGACAGCAAACTCATCTACGACTTGGCTGACCAAGGTGGTGAGATCTGCTCACTCAGATATGATCTGACAGTACCATTCGCAAGATGGTTGGCCATGAATGGAAGCGTTCAAAGTATCAAGAGATATCACATTGCAAAAGTCTACAGACGAGATCAGCCAGCAATGACTAAAGGCCGTATGAGAGAATTCTACCAATGCGATTTTGATATCGCTGGTGTCTATGATCCTATGTTGCCTGATGCTGAGATCATCAGGGTTGCAACTGAAGTATTTGAGGGTCTTGGCTGGAAGGGACGATATACCATCAAACTCAACCACAGAAAAATATTAGACGGAATTTTCGAAGTTTGTGGAGTTCCAGAGGACAAGATTCGCACAATCTCCTCGGCAGTTGATAAGCTCGATAAACTACCTTGGGAAGATGTGCGCAAGGAGATGACAGAAGAAAAGGGTTTGGCAGAAGATGTTGCAGACAGAATTGGAGAGTATGTCGTACAGAAAGGCCAGAAAGACCTTCTCAGCAAATTACAAGCTGATGAGAAGTTGATGGCCAATGCTTCTATGAAGGCTGGCTTGGAAGATATGGATCTCCTGTTCGGTTATCTCGAGGCATTCAAATGTTTAGAGAATGTTTCATTTGATTTGAGTTTAGCAAGAGGACTTGATTATTACACAGGAATCATTTATGAGGTTGTTACAGAAGGGTCTGCTCCTCTTGTGAGCACGTCTGCTGCCACTGCTGCCCCGGCAAAATCTTCGAAGAAACCTAAGAAAGTGGCCGATGCTGATGAGGACCGCTCATCAGATCCTAGCGTCGGTGTTGGAAGTGTCGCAGCTGGTGGACGTTACGACAACCTTGTTGGTATGTTTGCTGGAAAAGGAAAGCAAATTCCTTGCGTCGGTATTTCGTTCGGTGTAGATAGAATTTTCTCTATAACTAAAGCTAGAATGGAGGAAGAGCAAACAGCAGAGCAAGTGCGTAACAACGACGTAGACTGCTTCGTCATGGCATTTGGAGGAAAGGGTTTCACAGGGCTACTGAAAGAACGAATGTCAATTTGCTCCACACTTTGGGAGGCTGGTATCAAGGTAAGTCAAAACTTCTTTTAAGTTCCTGAGGAACCTTGTGTGTACTAACAAGTTCCCTAGGCGGAGTTCTTATACAAAGTCAAACCAAAGTTGCCAAATCAGTTTAAGGCTGCCGAAGTTAATGGTGTACCTTTCAGCGTCATCCTCGGCGAGGATGAAATTGCTCAAGGCAAAGTTAAGATTAAGGAGAATGGTCTCAGGGATGGCCATCCAGAGAAGGACGGTGTTATGGTCAATCTTGATGCACTAGTTTCCGAAGTCAAGCAACGATTGAAGAGAAAGGCTGACATCGATAACATGACACGAAAAGCTGATGGTCTGAGGGTTGTTGGAGGCATTAAAGATGATAAAGCTAAGATTGAGGCAATCCCTGCAGAAGCGCCTACCTCTGAGGCATCAGCAAAGAATCCTACAGAGTCTGCACCATCAGCAGAGGGTGTCGAGCCTGCCTCAGAGACTGAGAAGCCTGCAGAAGAAAGTCCGTTATCTCAAGAAGCTATAGGAGCTGTTCCTGCTTCTTAAAGAAAAAAATCAAAATTCCTTGAAACAATTTACATGTACATATTTGTAACGCAAAAGCATAGGGTGTGTGAGACACAATGCACTAATGACTTATTCATGAGATCATGATTTCATCTAATATATCCATTCTTTGATATCCACTGGGATGATTCAAGCATCGATGACCATGATCTCTCAAGATGCGTAGGATTCAACGGCAGTTTTCTAGTGACATGAGATATTAGATGGTTGTTCGGATATTTTACGAAACGACGTCGGTGTTTGAAATTCCAGGAGCGGAGGGTCTATAGGTGAATAGAATGGCTAGTAGATTGAGATCGGGCTAGAACAAAAAGTATTAGATGAAAGTATATCAGATCGCACCTTTCCATGATTTACGACCAGCCTTGTAATCAAAAATAAAGGAAAATGGCGCAGCCTAGTCTGATGACTTTTCGTAAGTAGAGTCTGTGCTATTCAGGGGTGAAGCACAAGGGCCACAACATCTTGTAAATATATCAGTGCGTTTGGTTTCGAAACGAATTTTTGACCACACCTCACTCACTCACAGACGTCCAATGTGGTGGATCACTCCTAAAATATTTTTGGACGAAACTATCTTCCCTCTAAATCATCTTATCACGCGTGGGGACAGCCTCTCGGATCTACACTAGAGTATGATGATACTTGATGGTCGAACAAGTGAAGGCTGTGAGTAGTGATGGTGATAGTGAGTAGTGAGTACTGGTGTACTTAGTAGTAAGTAGTCGGTAGTGAGGTGAAGAAATAGTCACCCGCAAGGTCTTGGGTACAAAGGTTACTTACTTCTATCCTCTAATGTCATATTAATAAGACTAGAGACTACCCAGGTATCTAAAGTTCTATTTCATTCTTTGCTTCCTTCGCATCTCATTTGTCCTATGATACCATTTTGTTCTGTGTTGTGTTGTGTTGATGTCTCGCGTCTAATGTATTAATTCTCATCCAATATTTCTGATATAAACAAACCACGCCGAATACCTGGGTGTCAATAAATTACCCAGGATAGAAACCACATCAATTTAGAATCTTCTAAATACTCTGTCTGCTCATATCATTGCCCACCCAAATATCTGGGTTGATACTGAGCGTACCGATCTGCAATATCCCAGTGACTACCGACGTTCTGGGTTATGATACGGGAGCTTGCATCACGGGTACCAAGTGTTTACCGTCCGAAATCAATATCGTCTCTGCAAACGGAGGCAAGACATTGGAAAGATATATTGTTGTAGTAACAACTACGGCATAGGCATCTCCACTCAAGTATTTCTGAAAAGCATGGGAGAGATGATCCATCTCAAATTACAGCCAGTGGAAGGGAATTCCACAACCTCAACTCGTTCCATAACATCAACATCTTCATCAATAAAATCTACAACCAAGAAGCAAAGGCCGCAATCGATAAGATCAATTTGGAGCAGACTGGTGTTCCCTTATACCTTGGATGATTGGAAGGTCATTATGGATGAAGTCAAGAAGCTATACTTGACGAGACAATACGAACAGTGTGCTGCGCAATGTACAAAGGTTCTCAATAGCATCACAGACCCAGTATGTCAAGCCATAAATGCGCCATGTTATCGTCATGCTAACATAGATTCACAGTATCGTGTTCATCCTCTTCATTCACTCTTCTTATCCTTTTATTGTGCCACCTGTTTGGAAATAACAGCATCAGATCTTACCAACAACTCTCCCGAAAAGCTTCTACTACGTCTCCGAGATTCTTTGTCGTACTTCCAGAAAAAGCAGAAGATACACTCACATACGCAGATATTCCTATCCAAAACAATGACTTGTCGCCAAGCAATCGGTCATCTTCGACATCATCCACATCCAGTGCCTCGTTCTTCTGTGGACCTCCGTATTTCTTCTTCAACATCATTCCCTTCTACCATAGATAGACTCTCACCTGCTTTCTCGTCTTACTCTTTTGAGAGTTGTGACGATACAAGACCCCAGGAACAGCCGTACATTTTCCGAATCATCGATGGCATCGATACAATCTACGCAATCAACAGACACTACTGCTACTCCAAATAGGCCCGCACCACTTCGCATAAAAAAGAAAGTTTCTTTCTCTCCAGCATTGCCCACACTTATATCTGACCAAAGTCTTGACAACGACTCAAGCACTTTCGAAACTATCCCCCGTCCCATTCCATCTCCAATCACTCCCCTCTCGACCTATAATCTCCTCCAAATACCAAGTCATCATCTCCGGACTACCCCTCTCACAACAACAGCTCACAAGCTATAATCTCAACCTCTCATCAATAACGACACAACTTACCTATCACATAACACATATCAGCAATCTCATCGATAATATACAAAACATACGCAAATCTCGACGCAGTAATCAACCCTCATTTGCCCCTTCATTATTCAATTCTCCAGATGGTCTTAGTAATGAGGATAGAGCGGAAATGGAACGACAAGACATCCGAGCAAGAATCGAGAAATTGAGGAGTGGAGGTTGGGAAAAAAAGAGGTGGGATGGAAGTAGATATGCGGCTTTGAGGCAGGAGTCGATAATGAATTGAATTGGTTGGATATGATATTATGTTTTTATTCTTTGGCCTTGGTTTGGCTTCTCTATAATGTGTATTTGACTTGATGATGTGAGTGGTATTTAAATGATATGGCTGGTGCTATATTGTTACACTATACCATACCCTCTGTATGTGATGATTTTGGGATCTTTTGGGGCCTTTTTGCTTGAGAAGGCCGGGATATTGGTGATGGGTTATGTATGTATTTATAGTGAATGTCAATACCCAATGCAATTTTTATCTTCTAGCCAGTATGATTTCATCATTCCAATCAACCTGCTATGAATCATGGATGGTTCCTTGACCTAATGGCTTCTAGTGATGTGGAGGCTGGGGGCTTCAAGTCTGCAGAACAATATGTTTGGTGTGCCAGTGAATCATGTCATTGGACTATATTTTTGGAATCCACGTTGCAACGGCATATGATTTATATCATTGCTATTAGTGAATTATTAGATAGGAGTTCTCTGTGTAGGTACTTGGAGGTTTGAACTCATTCGCCGAAGCATCTGGTTGTGGTCTAGGATCGGATCATGCACTGGAAGATTTATGGACGGCGGTAGGTATCAATGCGAATAATATATGCACCCCTAACCTGCCTTCTTTCCTTTTGATTGTAGATCTCTTCATTCCTGGCTCGCTCACTGCTCATCGCGTTACTGTGAAGATGCTGCTCTCTTTCCCTCTTTTTAGACAATTGTCTAGCATATGGCAAAATGTACTAGGTCATCACCCCCTCGGTTGACTCAAGTGATCCGCAGAGTTGGGGAAGCATCTCATATGATCAATACACATTCTGCAGCCCTTGGTAGACATTCAAATCTGCTGTGCAAGGTATTATATCCTGATATGCCCGAGAAATAGATGTTTTCTATTCTCCTCCTAGGAACAGGATTTCTTAGCCTGATTTTCCCATAGCTGTGAATGATGATACGCAATTAGTAGTTATAATAATTCCGTATCTTGCATGTTCTCTGGCTGAAACTCTCCTTAGAATCCCGTTTCACGAGAATTGGTATGTACAACTCCTCCTGAAAGAGTCTTAACCTCCTGAGCTCGCGCCAACAGGAGTTAGAGTATTATCTTCCAGGCAGCGTTGAGCGTCTACTCACCCTCCAAGACGATATTCCATCTAGTCACACATTACACTCCGTTGTCATAGAAGTATTCCTTATCCTCCAGGCCAATTCTAGTTTCGAGAGTCCAGTAACCCTACCATATCCTACATGCTTTCATTATCTTCTCTCACCTCCTGCCTCGTCATTGTCAACCAACTCCTAGTCAAATAACACGCCATGTCTCGCCGCCAGTTGCCCTAGCATCATCATTACTCAGAAAATCGTAACTCTGAAGCCTTCATGATGCAATACTCAAGTCTCGCACGAGTGATAGGGATTCTGCATAGGATTCAGACTATAAAGTGCCATCTCAAATAATCACCCTAATGTTTGGAAATGATCGACGTTTGTCATGGAATCTCTATACGCGATCTACTTTCTTCCGGAGCCCGATGTAGGAGGGCAAGGTCAATTCGGCAATCTGATGATACTTCACATCTCATCTCGTCGCGCGCGCGGTTGCGATTACTCTCCCTATTGGTGATATCAGGAATATAGTGGATAGCATTCTGTCGAATTGTAGAGTGGGGTAACCTCATTGGAGAATTCTTGTTACAATCACAAACAGAGCCTCGAGAGCTTGGAGTTGGGGGTCTCTTCTGGACCTGCCCATTTAGCCACCATGTGGTGACGATCAATTGCAGACAACAAATCCTTCGATGCATGCAGTAGTCCTCACAACATAAGCTTACTTCACAGCCTTACCATTTTGACAAATCCAGTGAGTCATGTTTTTGAAATCTGAGTGCGGCGCGGTAAGTCTAAAATCTTACATAAACAACACAGGACAGGCCATTGATCGCGGTGTGGTAGCGATGGAGTTATGATAGAAGCTTTGGCCAGGCCGTTCATATCAAGCAAATCCAACGACGATTTAACGGTACTGTGGCCAAAGGGCCTGGCGACGATGAGAATCACCGCCACTTTCATTCGCTGCACCTGTATCTGTGCATGTTTCATGACCCAAAAAGGACGTAGATTGTTGACTCTCACAATAAGAATCTTATCGAGCCGAGCAAGCCTAGTCGAGGACCCGGAAGTCCCCCACAGCTTATGCATGTGAGTTACCAGCCATAATTGTTTGTGGTTGAGAATGGATCCATTCAATAATCTGACCGTTGGAATAAGCGGCTCTTGCATGAGGCGCCATGGATTGGAACCTGCAATCTGCATGATATAACGTCAATCACACGGTGATGTTGAGCAACGTGCATTCGTTGTTATACGAGCTTGTTGTGAACCAAGACCGAGCCGCTTCTATATAGCTCGGAAGGTCCTTAGTGGGAATCGTAATATTGCTAGCCATACCTTTGTTCACTTTCACTTTTTTTTGCTTTTACACGACGTCAACGTACTGAAAATACCGTTTCTCAATCTACATTTCCTCTCCTAAATATGGCTGAAACAATCAAGCCACTCTTGCTGGTATGCAGTAATCCCGCGTCTGGACATATCGCACCATGCAAGATCATAGCCAAAGTTCTCATAGACAGAGGTTACGAAGTAACCATTCTAACCGGTTCAAAATTCGGTCCAGGGATTGAAGCAATCGGTGCCACATTTGTTCCTCTTGAAGGCTATTCAAATTTCGACGATTCTCCCAGCGGGATGGCGGAGAAATGGCCGGTTCGAGAAACACTTCAGGGACCAGCACAAATGCTTTTCGATTTGGAACATGTGTTTCTTAATGCCATGCCCTCACAATTCCAATCCGTCCAAAAAGCTCTGAAGCTCATGACGGATAAAGATCCAGGAAGACCAATTATTATCATTCAGGACATTATCTTCACCGGTGTCTTCCCACTATTAATGGGAGCCCCAGGTATTAAGCCCACAGCAGTCATCTCCTTGGGAATCACACCCATAGTACTATCAAGTCCAGATGTTCCACCCATGGGATCAGGGCTTTTCCCAGATAGTTCGCCCGAAGGACGCGAGCGTAATCAAGCTATGCATGAGCATATGCAAAACGGACCATTCCTCCACATCACTCAGCTTTTCCACCACCAGTTTGAGGTTTGCGGCGCAAAAAATCCAGGGTTGTTTTTCCTGGATGCGCCATATCTTCTTCCTGATAGAGTCATTCAACTCTGTACGCGTAGTGTAGAATACCCTCGGACTGATCTGCCCAAGACATTGGTTTTCTCTGGTGGTTTACCAAAAGGCCATAGAGATGTGGTTAATACCACGCATCCTAGCTGGTGGGAGGAAGTCACCACGAATGCATCTAAAAAACGAATCGTGTTCGTTAGTCAAGGAACCGTGGCACTCAATTACGGAGATTTGGTTATACCCACCATCAAAGCATTTGCAGATCACGACAACACTATCGTTATTGCCGCACTGGGTGTCAAAGGAGCTTCATTACCAGACTCGGTAACAATACCCAAAAATGCTTATGTAGAGGATTTCATTCCCTTCGATGATATACTTCCCTATTGTGATGTATTCATTACGAACGGAGGATATGGAGGGTTCCAACATGGTTTGAGTAATGGAGTTCCGATGGTGATGGGTGGTGATACGGAGGATAAACCGGAAAATTGCGCGAGATGTGAATGGATTGGTGTTGGTGTGAATTTGAAGACTGCGAGACCCGATGCAGAGTTTTTGAGGGGGGAGGTGGAGAAAGTGCTTGCGGATGAAAAGTACAAGAAGAAAGTTGAAGAAATTAAGAAGGAGATGGAGAATATGGATCCAATTGGCATCATTGAGACGCAAATTAAGGAATTGGTTGAAGAGAAGAGTGCGTAGATAATTTGAATTGATGGGATGTTTTTATGGGATAGAATAAGTAGATACGCCGTTGCCCAACCCTCGATAGATAGCCAGGTATCAGTAAATAGAGCACGAAGAAGAAATAATACATTACCCAATTAATCATAACTTCATCCCGTAAGTGATATTGCAAAACAAAACATTCCGACCCATTTCATCCTTTCATCTGTGATCCTTACTCTCTCTTTCAAATCATCTCATCTCACCACCTTCACTTCATATCACCCTCTCCATATTCACTCTTCCAGACTACATCTTCCCCATGAATCTACCAACCGAAGTAAGCAGTAGCGAATGCCCCACACCTCAACCATTTGTTGCACACCTGTATAAGTATATACATGCACCATTTATCTACAGAGGTTGGAAGGGTAAGTAATGTAAAACCCACCAAAAACCGACCGTGCTTTTCTCCATATTTAGAGGCTTTAGCCAATCATATCGTCACGCTGGTTGAAAATTTATATGGTGAACTCTAGGTGGTGGAAGTATTGTAAAAGTCACGTTTTATTCAGAATTATTTACTTTTTTATTGAAATTAATGATTTCGATTGGATTTCAAATTCGAATCCTTATCCTAAGTCTATTTAGAACCTATAGAAACCTTCAAATGCTTCAAATATTAAAAAACTATTAGAATTGATAAAAAGCAAGTAAAAGCTTCAAAGATTGAATTTTGGGAAGAACAGCTCAATATCTATTCGAATCGCTTAAAGCAGCAGCAAAATCTATAAAAACAGTAAGATTTTAGTAAAAGTGGGGTTTACATTACTTACCCTTCCAACCTCTGTACACTATGTAAAAACAGTTTACATGGTGTAAATACGTTTACATGGTGTATACATTATTTATACATCATATATCGGTTACGCATATCACCACAAAGGCATCTGAAAAATACATAGCTACCACTATATCACTAGCAGGCTACTAGCGCCAAGTCAAACACCACTAGGACTTCCTAAATAATCACTAGCAGACATTCCCACACTAGCAACAACTGACTCGCATCAGATATGCAACAAAATTTTCCAAAACCTCGAGCGAATCACTACTCAGTGCTACACTATCTACCGAGATACTTTTATTGGACGA